CAAAGTTTTTCTTATTCAAAACTGAGCACCCTATATGATTTAATTTTTTTTTCATCAACAAAAGTGTGAAGTTGCAGTCACAAATACAACGGAGTATTTTGTCTGTCCGTAATTAATGGTATGATTAATGATATGTTTCTGTTATTTTTGTTTTCAGATTCTGACTTGTCTGTCCAACTCATTACTGACTTATTGGCAAAGGCATTCAATGATGAAAATAAATATTTTATAAGTGGTTCTTTTGACTTATTTGATCTCATTCAACAGAAACAATTTTCCCTAGCCTATATTCGCATTAGTTCAGATGTAGGTTTATTACTCAAAAATATATCTATTGGCTTGATTGAACTGAGCATGAAAAATATTGGAAGTCAATTAAATTACACTGAGAAATCTCTCTAGTGATGTTATACGAAACAACTACTGCCTCTTGTTCTTTCGTAAACTATAAATTTTCATGGAAACTATTGAAAATGTAAATTATTTCATATGTGATGGAATCGGAATGAAAATCCAAAACGTATTCGAGAAACACTTTAGTATAAGATTTTCACTTAAAAGCTTTACAAAAAACGCAAAACGTGTTTCGCTATACAATAGCTTCTTCAGGCGTGTCTATGAGTTGGACAGTTTGTAATGAAAACAAAAATAACAGAATCATGCCATAAATCTTGATCATATTATAAATTATGAAGGAACAAAATATCTAATTCGATCATAGAATACTCTTACAAAAAGACTAAAAACAGTGGAAATCAAGAATAAAGAGATGTGCATGAATATAAAGTGACATCGGCCATGGTAACATTTCTTCGATAAATCTTCTACCTCTGTAAATATTCATCTAGTAACTGAAATAATGAAACAAAAAATTTTCTACCGGAATAATGCAGTGACATCCCTGAATAAAATTCATTACATTTATTTTATACACTGAAATGTATCCATTTAAATAAATCATACCTATATCTACAATTCTATCCAGTTGATGGATTTTTCTGAACCAAAAGTTTATAAAAGAAATGGTAAACCATCAAAATGATTCTAAAATCCTATTTATCATTATTATTACTTCATCTCACTGGATCATAAGTGTGCCCCAATATCAAGATGACAAAAGGAAAAAATAGTCATGTTTTCATGAACAAAAATCACTGTTTTTCAAAGTAAATACCTTAATTTCAATTTAAGTATCGTTTCATAATATTGCAACCATTGCAATACATATTCTTCATAAATCTACAAACACCACTTTCGAACCAAATCGGGATTCTGAGAAACAAGTAAATGAATAATAACATTTCTGAAGTGAAGTTAATACCAATATACCACCCTATAGGTAATTTATTGTCAATCCACTCTATAAGAAAATCGGTGCTAGGTGCTTTGGAACACCATATCGCCATAAATTACTAGAAGACCTGATTAGGTCTATCAACCATAATATAAATAAAGTTTGATTTGGTTCCACGTCAGTTTCGCATGAGTGAGGGCCGTATTGAAAAAAATATAGATATCTAATCTGAGAGCAGAATTATGCGACAGGTTTTAGAAGGGAAAAAGTCTTAGCCCACAATATTCCTAATTTTTTGTAAATTTGGTTAGTTATTTGATCAATAGAAAGCAGGAGGAATTGAAATTGAAATAGGTAAAATAAATATAACCACCTGTCGCCCGCATACGAACGACATCCCTCAGAAGTCGAAACTTGTGCGAGCTAAGGACTTACGAGGTCTCACTTTTTAACGTGTGATTCCCACCACAGGTTGGACGATAGCGAGTGAAAATCGAGCGTTCTGCCTGCGGCTTGAACCATAGACTCACACATCGGCCGATTGACTGAGTGAACAAAGCACCCACGTCGAACCGCCCGGCTACCGACCGACCAAATGAAGTTATTGAAGCGACTATTTCATTTTGTGTTATTATGCGGAGATCACATATTTGGGAAATTTTCATCATTTCCAGATGATAATTAGCTTACCTATCTTTTTAATACAATTCAAATTACTGAGGAGTGAATCCTTTCAATGACAAACGTTGGTGATATTGGTATCATTTAGTTGATATTGATTCTAAATCAATTACACAGGCCAACAACCTAAAAACTTTCTCGATAATTTCAACTGAATCCTATGTAATTGGGTGTAAATTTTTTCACGTTTCACTATTGAGTACAAATAAAATTTATTCACCAAAATGTATAAGATACATTTTTAACTACTTAAATATTTTAAAGTTGGCAACATTATTTTAATGTAATGAGGTTGGCAATGAAATGACATATTGCAAGTTTGGTAATTCTAATAAAATCTACCGCCGTTTAGTTTTTTTCACTGAGTATAATCTAAATCTAAATATAAACTCAAATTGCTGTGTGCTTTTGATTAAAAAATTAAAGGTTAAACGTAGTTGTAAAAATTCTCATAACGCTTTTTGCTATATTTGTGGTAATTTTGTAATTAAAAAACATCAAAGGAACATTATCGACTTTGTGAAGAAAGTTTGCTTTGCATATTTTGGTATAGAAATCAGTAATCAAGACAAATGTTGGGTTCCTCAAAAAATATGTTATGTTTGTGTCGAGGATCTGAGGAAATGATATAAAAAAGAGTACTCATGATATGGAGAGAGCAACAAAATCATTTAGATAATTTTTATTTTTGCAGTAAAGGGGTTAATGGATATAACTCTGAAAATAAGAAAGTATTGTTTATCCCAACGTTACATCTACTGATCGGCCAATAGAACATGGACCAAACTTTTCAGTCCCTGAGCCACCTAATGGTGATATTTTACAGTGTAGTCCCGAATATAGTCAATAGACTGTTAACGATTTCCAGTACCACTCGTCCTCCTGACGAGAGACAGTCGAAAGGGTACGGGAAAAGATTTCCATCCTGATTAAAATGAAGATGACTATCGACGATTTCCAGTGTACTGACAATTCGAAACCAGTTATTTGCACAAGCAGAGTTAAATGATTTAGTAAGAGATTTGGGTTCTAGACTAAAAGAGAAACATTTATCGAAACGTGGAACATCTATTTGCCATTATAGAATAAGAGATGAACAGTTCACTCAATTTTTTCGGCGAGACGAGCATCTGGTTTACTACCATGATATTGACAGTCTAATGAATGAATTTGGCATGCCAATCGAAAACAAAAGAATGGCTACTTTTTATTGATTCATCAAAAAAAAAGCTTGAAAGGTTAAATAACGGAAATAATTATGCTTCAGTGCCTGTGGCACATTGAATTCACAATCAATGTTGTGTGGGGATTTGCAAGTTGTCTCCATGCTCCTTGGTCAACAAAAGGGATTTACAAAGTTTCCATGCTTAATATGTGAATTGGACGGTAGAGCAAGGGATCAACATTGGTCTCAAAAACAAAGGTCCACTGCATATAAAGTTGGGTTTGATGAAACAATTTGTTGAAGCTTTGCCTGAAGATAGTGATTGTTTCAAATATTTGTGTGCGAAAATTCCTCATTTACCAGAAGCTAAGTTAAAAGAAGGGGTTTTCGTGGGGTCTGATATTCATAGATTGATGTTTAATTCAAACTTCGAAGCAACAATGAATGAGATGGAGCAGAAGGCTTGGATATAATCTAAAGTAGCTGTGATTGAGTTTTTGGGTAATGCCAAAGACCCGAACAATAAACTTATCGTAAGCTAACATGATAAATAACTTTAAAACTCTTGGTTGTCTGATGAGCCTTAAAGTCCAGTTTTCACAAAATTATCTTGACTTTTTTCTGAAAACTTAGGTAATATATAAAAAAATATTATAATTTAGCCATTTTATTTTATAATTTAAGTAATTTAATATTATTGTAAGCTGAAATATAACCAATTTATGATTTGCTGAATTTGTATATATCAAATTTTCCATTTTTTTCTAAGTAATAAGTCGATATCATATTGCGAAAGAATGGTGGCTGATAGAAAAACTGCTATAAAATACGGTTTTAGCATACAAAAATGCATAAGATTTGCATAAATTTGTTTAAAAAGTATTCGCAAACATTTTTCTGTCGAATGAACCATGACTTTTTCGGCCATGGTCTGCAAGTTTTTATGTCCGACGTTTCGTCTATTACTGCGGTAGACATTATCAAAGGCGATGAAGTAACGGTCGAAGTGCTCGAGTAGTTCTCAACCGCAGAAACGAAGCCACCCCCTTCTTTGATAATATAAAACCGGCGACAAATTCTAGCATTGTAGTTTCCGCGTTAAGAACTACTCGAGCACTTCGACCTTTACCTAATCGCCTTTGATGATTTCTACCGCAGTATTAGACGAAACGTCAAGCAGACCTGCAGACCATGGCCAAAAAACCTGGAGAATGGCTTTGACACACTTCTGTTATTTGTTTGCTTTTTTTTCGAATACTTTCAGTGTCTCTAACACAGACCTTTGTTTGCGCAGTGTATCTCCCACCGGTCTTGTCTCTTTGTGTTTACAATAAATTTGTTAGTATCAACTGCCCACCCTTAGTATATCGAACCAATTATTCCAGGAAACAAAAACTATTTTTCGTTTACGGAAAATGGACGGAGTTCATCAAATGTACGGACTACAATTCATATGAGGAATATCTGAAAGAAAATAATTCAAAATTTTCTTCAGGAAAAAGTAAAAGTCCGAACGATTCCCCATCCCACACTTCCAGAAAAATGCTTCAGAAACTGAACAGTTTGAAAGTTGCTTCCTTCAAAGGTAATTCAACGTCAGAGGTGAGTTAACAATGATCAAAAATTCAGTAAAACAAACATAAATTCGAAAATTTTCTCCACTGATTTCAGAGTATTGATGACCCCAATTCCGACTTGGGAGAAAACTCTGTTCCTAAGAGTGAATCCACATATTCAATAGATATCCCGAATTCTACTACGATATGGACTGCAAATCCAAAACCTGCTCAAAGTAGTGACGTAAAAAATTCACAAAATACTTGGCTAGCCCTCTCTTGACATTTATATTTTTCAGTATTACCAGTTCACACACTTTGCGATGTCTTTGAATGAGTTGGAACCAGGAATGGAGACGAATCTTTGCCCGACAGATTCCAGACTGAGGCCTGATATCAGAAAGCTTGAGCAAGGCGACATCGATGGAGCAGCTATTGAAAAAGCTAGGCTCGAAGAGAAACAAAGGGATACTAATAAAGACCGCAAAACTAAAAAAGCAACAGAGTGGGCTCCTAGGTACGAACAAAAAAAAGATGTTTTCAGAAAGTAAATGTGGTGGGTATTGGAAAAAATTATTTGAATGCCTCATTCTTCAATGAAATTTTCCAACTGACATATCAAAAATATTTCCCTAGTTGTTTGGACGTAGGGTTTTATGCCTGACGTTTCGCCGACGGTTGCGGTAGACATTATCAAATGCGATGAGGTAACAGAGGAAGTGCTCTAGCTGCTCTCACAGCAAATAATGGTGTTATGTGTGTCTCCTGTTTCATTCTATTTGGGATAAGGGGTTTCTATTGGTAAAGTTGAATATCCTCTTATTATGACTATACAGTGCGGTCCATATATATGGAATAAATTCATTTTTGGCGTTATTATGTACTATGTGAAAAAAACCTGAAACAGGTCGATTTTCATTCTTAAATTGACATTAAACAGACCATCCCTGTAACACGCTCCTTACTAACCTTGAATCCTGGAAAAAATCTTTGAAGATACTAAAATATTAGACAAAAAGCCAAATAAACAATTGATATGAATCTAGTAGGCTTCTGTCATTTAGGTATTTAAAGATACTAAAAGACGTCAGTATAATATTTGTGGGCGTATTAAATTTAATTATGGCTCATTTGTCCGAGACTCAAAGAATAGACATTTTAATTATGATTGGTTGTGGTAATAAAACAAGAACTCAAAAGGAGCTCTGTGAAATTTTTAATAATAAATACCCTGGTCAACACGTGTCGCAGTCTACAGTTAGCAAAATTGAAAAAAAGTTTCGTGAAACTGGACATGTAAAAAATATTGGAAAACCAGCTACAAATGAAAAAAAGTTAGATGTACTTGTAAAGATTGAGGAAAATCCGCATGAGACAACTCGAGAACTTGCCGCCGACAATGATGTAAGTAAATCATCTATTTTGAGAGTTTTGCATAAAGAAAAATACCACCCTTACAAAGTTAAGTTGGTTCAGGAGTTAAATGAAGATGATCCTGATAGAAGGCAAGAATTCTGTGAATTGATGATGGACAGAATGAACGGAGACCTGCAGTTCATAAACAAAATAGTGTTTTGTGATAAAGCGACGTTTCATTTAAACGGAACAGTCAACAGACAGAACTGTAGATATTGGAGCAGAGAAAATCCTCACTGGATATGTGCGACTCACACTCAATATCATAAAAAAGTTAACGTTTGGGCTGGTATCATCAACAATGAAATTATTGTCCGTAATTTTTTTGAGGACACTGTTAATCGTGAGGTTTATCTAGATTTTTTGATTAACTTTTTAGTGCACCCATTACAAATACATTTTCCTGATGTTAATCATCCAAATGTGATAGATCGAACTATTTACTACCAACAAGACGGAGCTCCACAGCATTTTTCACGTACAGTTAGAAATTATTTAAACGAGGTTTTTCCCAATAGGTGGATTAGAAGACGTGGAACGATCGTATGGCCGGCTAGATCCCCCGATTTGACTCCTCTCGATTACTTCTTATGGGGTTATTTAAAATCTAAAGTATATTTTGATAGATCAAACAATATGGCTGATTTAAAAGTTAGGATAACGGAAGAAATCAACAAAATAACCCCCGAGGTCATACAAAACTTTGTACGAGAATTCCAAAATCGCCTCGGTTATTGTCAAGAAGTTAATGGTGGTCATTTTGAACATTTGATTTAATTGTAAAGTACATTGAAAAATACATTCTAAATATTATGTGGCATTATTATCTTTATTGTACGTAAAGTTTTGTGATAGCTAGAGATATTATCAAAATTTACATCCTAAAAATCAATTTTCTCAGTTATGATTGCACCAAACTTAAACTTTATATTGCTTAACAGAGGACTTAAATCCCTTTCCAACAAGGTGCCACACGACCCCCTTTGCTATTTAAAATTTTCAGAAGGGGTGCTGGAGGGGGATAATATTTTCATACTGTAAATTGTCCATTCAAGAATAAAAATCGACCTGTTTCAGGTTTTTTCCATAGTACATAATAACGCTAAAAATGAATTTATTCCATACATATGGACCGCACTGTATAATTTAGTGCAGATAGCCAGACTTCATTGATATTAATTTATTCTTCTTTTCGATTGAGATTTTTGGTGTTTTTGAGTTTCCATGGCTTCCCTATATAGTCTTTGGGTGTATATTCAGATTATTCGTGTCTCTTCAAACGCAATAGGGTGGGCACCTGCTCTGATTGCAAGTTTTCTACAGCTGATTTATCGAAGGAGGTAACTTAAACTCAGGTTTTAATCAGCCCCTCGTTTGTTTTGACTGGTGGTTGAGTTTTCATTCAAATACCTGTCTGTGTGTGTTGGTTTTCTGTAAATTTTAAGACCAATGTTTCATTTTACTGTCTGTTCACAAGCACATCTTGAGAAGGAGATTGTGGTAGGTTTTACCTAAACTACTCAATTAGTCGAAAAAATAACAGCTTACTTTTTTCTGTCTATCTTGTTACTTGGAAAAACGATGTATTAAGGTACTGATGTAATTAAACTGTAACTTTTTTGTTAGTGAAAATGATATTGGGAAATCAAGAAAACAGAAGAAGAAAAACGATGCGGAGTGTAATTAAGAGAAACCTCTCAGTGGTTGAATTATTGATGGTTGAGCATTGATAGTGTTCTTTCTAAAATTCTCACTCAATGAAAAAGTTATTGAACGAGACCATATTTAATGTATTTTGATACACCAGATTCTCTACAATTGTCTTTGGATGAATTTATTTTTCAGATGGTTTCATCAAGGAACAAATCCATACAACAAACAAGAAGATTGGATATACAATGGAAACTACTGGAAAAGGCAATACACTGATCCAGATATTTTTTAGATTGCACTCATCTGGAAATAAGTAGATGCTGTAGTGAATAAAATTGGATGTTAACTTAATATGCTCCTTAGAAAAATAGATTGGTGTCTTTATGTGCCAAAATCTAGCACGAATCTTTACCAATTCTAGAAAAAGCGCTTCCAAAATGATTTATTTGTCAATTGTTTCGGTTTTTTATCATTGCTTTTGAAGGTACATATTATTAAAATGTAGAAGTTGACAAAGTTGTCCATGATGATGGATCTAAGTCAGAGCATTGTTGAAGAAATTAATATATCGTATTCATTCTTAAGTTATCAAAAAGACAGTTCCTTGATGCTATTAACAACTTTCTTGAATATTGAACTAAAGTAATTACCTGTGGAGATATCAGAGTTTTATTGACTTTTTGGGGAATTTTCACTTACCACAATCTGGAAAGAAGGAAAAAAATTGTAACGTAGAACTTTAGGTATTAGTAACTGTAAACTTTCTATAAGTTTCTGCGTAAAAGGAAAATGTTTTCTTGTACAGTAACTTGTCAATATGGGTACTCAGGTTGACGTTTTGGAAACTATATTTCGAATTCACTTTGACATGTGTCGAAGGAATTTGAAAACGAAAATATTCTACAAGTCACCTGCAAGAAGTAGCTGATTTTTTATTTCAGATTCATGTCTTCAAATGTCAAAATGAGTACCCTATGACAGTTTTTTTTCGGTGGACAAAATCATCACATAAGACAAGTTTTTGAAGAGTCCCAGAAACGCTCAATAAAAACTTCTCCCTAGATTCGAAAAAAATCTTCAATAATTTTTTTCCATCGACTTCACCATCAAACAAAAAGATAAAAAATCTGTTTAAAATCTGTTTTTCCGTTAACCAGCTGTCGCACCCCTACGAACGGCAACCCTCAGAAGTCGAAACTTGTGCGAGCTAAGGATTAACGAGGTCTTACCTTTTAACGTGTGATTCCTAAAACGTGATAATCGGGAAGCAAGTGATTTTTTTAGAAATATTCAATTTTTTTACTCGCTTTTATCAAAATATGAGGGCACTTAACTCAAACAAGGTTGTATCAATAAAAACATTCGCGAAATGAATTATTCGACTCATCTGCAAGTGAGGTCAAAACAATAGTTATCCACAGACACTTCATTATATTTATCATTAGTAAATAGTCTTGTTCACTTCCACGACCTAAATATATGTCAAACACCTGTAGACTATCCGGCACCCAGCAGTACTTATATTATGATTAGTGATACACTAATTTTTCCAGTCACAGACCAGATGTCAGAGAATGGCAATTTTTATGAAAAGGAAATATTTTCATTCGAATATCTAAGAGACACACAATATCAAGAAAATCACTAAAACTGTAAATCTCTTCATCCTGAAATTCATAAATCAATAATTTGGTACATCAGCAAATGATTATACATTTTTTTAAATTATATATCACTTACATGCACTTAATTTCATCCTAGTTTGAAAAAAACTCTTCTTCCGTCAATTAGCTGTCGCCCCCTACGAAGAACAACCCTCAGATGTCGAAACTTGTGAGAACTAATCCGAATTAATCACACTTTAATGATCTGTTTTAAAAAAAATGGTAAACATGGATTTTATCGCTAGCCTGCTGTCGTTTCCATAAAAACGACAACGAGATCTTACTTTTTAACGATTTCCAGTACGGTCCAGAAGATACGAGGTAATCACCCATCGTCCCAGATGTTTTGAGACAGCTTACTGAAGAAATAATAACTATGAATTAATTTTTACCTCCTATATGATAGGAAGAACTACATATTCTGATATTACCAAACCACTCAACCCTGCAAATAAATTACTGGCCATTTTAATAAAACTATTCTTTATGTGGTCGAGGTAAGGATCGAGGTAATTGGGAGAAGGATGAATATATCACAAGAGTAATATATCACAAATTTTTTAAAACTGACACGATCAGTGTTCTGGAATTGTAAACAGGGTTAGCGTTGTCAATTATGTAACCCATATGACGTGCATCCATATCCAACTTCGCTAATTGATATTACACCAATATTCTAATACACTATACCTGGTTTGATACAAAAACGTAATAACAAGGGCTTCGTAGAACACGTGTTTTTTGGAAACAAAAAACAGTTATCTGCATAGTCGAAAAATTTCGCAGTTTTGTTATTGGAAAACGTGATTCTCATTAGATTGTTTCTATAAACATGTATAGCTTTATAACTAGTTATTTTCAAGTAGACAGATGACAAATAAAATGCATTCCTGTTTATAACTCCAAATAGTGAGTAATGAATTCGATGGGAAATAGACAGGTCTTTTGATATAGTGAATTGAAGGGGTTAGAATGGGTTTGGTTTACCCGATATATATTCTCATCACACTACACAATTGACTTGAAATCAATAGGGATCAAGAAAATTGATAATGTCGAGTCAGAAAACACTGTAGATACGAACATCCTAACTAGAAGTTTTGCTTTATACAGGGGTTGAATTATAGTACACTGCGGTAGTAATTTTATATGTATCTCGCACAGAACTCCTTCTTTCGATCCACAGAACTCCTTCTTTCGATCAAGTTAAATTTCAAGTGAAGGATAATCACACGTACAATGACTAAACCACCCTTTTCATGTATGTGATTCGAATGCAATAATTTTCCAGTAATGCCGTTGAGTGCAAAGAAAGTAGTATACGAAAATAGATATGTATTAGTTTAGACGTGAAAAATTTATCTATGTAAATATTCGTACATTGCTCTGTATGTATCATTTAATAGATGTTGGGTTTTCCAAAGGTAGAGATAGTGTTTGGTTTTTTGGAAAACTGGAGTCAATATTTAGGGAACACATACAACTCACCGTTGAAACTATCTACTAAACTCTGCTTCATTGGGATTTTTTACAATAGGTATAATTTAAAATTGACTTGACAGTTAATTTTCACGTGCCACTCTAAACCTATCAAATTTTACATTCAATGAAGAGATTTTCAAAAGGCGAATTGTTTCTTAGAATTTATAGAAATGCCCCAGGAAAATGTTGTTCAATTAAAAATTTTATTCAGGGACAATGTTCAGGTTACAACTGTTATTTCGAATGATATATGAGACTTTCATTTTTCTTCTTCTACACGAAAAAATGTACCCTCAGAAATTCCTTACTTTCGGTGACAAGTTATTCTGTCCTATCCGGAAAAGATATTCTATGTAGGTCTCGTATTTATCAGAAGTATGAAGTCTGAATCACGTTTCGTTCAAATCGGTAAAAACAAAATGCCAAAAAAAAATCGAAGAGAGAGTACAATACGTCAAATTTGATGGATTCAGAATAGCACATGAGGTTCATATTCAGTCATTTTACAAGTAAAAACTAATCGCATTTTCCAATTATATCTATTAATAATTCAATGTATTTCTCGTAATGGTTGTTAATAAAACGTGGATAAAAATTACAATCACGATAGCACCTCTCTTTTTAACATTGTCTACCTCAATAGTTTTTTTTGTGGCAGGTGCAAACTCACCCTCTTTCAGACTGCGAGCATTGTACATGTATTTTGCACTTGTCAATAATCTAAGTTGATTTTCAGTTGAGCACAACGTCTATGAAATTGAAAATACTTAGAACAAGTGAGATAAATAGCAATATCATCGATTTTTCTTAGTAAATATGTGTTGTCATGAATAACTCGCAAATTACTAAATGAAGATTGCTTACATATCAATTTATTTGCACACTATGTTCGCTCGAAATCCATTGAGTAGATTTTCCTTCAGATACTGTAGAAAAGAAGTCAACAAGACAAGAAAGAATGGAACCGTCAAGAAAATACCGGGAATCGATCATTTAAAAAGCCCAGGTAAAAGAATTGTCGACATTATTTTTGTATCTAGATTGACACAAGTGCTTTCTATACTCACGTGGCGTTAGAGCGCCAATCAGTTCTTGTACAATACTCAAATTGTTACTCAAACGTATTTAGCGATATTTACAATGAATTAAAGTATCAAACAGAGAATTTGCCATAAATTTTACATTGCAAATGAAATGTCGTGTACCGAAGATCTGAAAATCTTGCATAAGACTTAAGGTGAATCGACTTTATCCATTCAAAAGCGATCGAGACATGGTGGAAGGTTTTAAACGAGTTTTTAGTCTGGAAACGCGTTGCCGCTTGAACAGTGGCAAAAGCCTGAAGTTTCTGCTAACACTCAATCACCTAAAGGTCGCTGAAGACATTGTTATAACGAGTCAATTCCGACCCCAGATTCATGAAACGCATTGTAACTGGTGATGAGACATGGCTTCACGAACTTGATATGCAAACCAGTCAACAAGCTTTGGCATATCGCCTTCCAACTGAGCTGAAACCGAAAAATGCTCGTCAAAGTCGATCAAAAATAAAAATGATAATAGTGATTTTATCCAAAGAAAACCATTTCCAAACCCGGAAACCAATCAAAACATTGACGCCAGCCGTGAAAGCCTACATGCGTATATTAGCTAAAAAATAATTCAGAAGGTCCTAGGTAGCAGTCATCACACCACTCTCCTCAGCAATCTACGGTATTGATCAGATGAAAAAATAATAAAATCGTTGAGCGTAGCGTAACCCGAATAAATATGTAAATATTACATCCAACGAATTTATTATTTTTTAACATCATAAACACCGTATATTGCTGAAGATGTGGTGTGACGATTGGTACCTAGGACCTTCCGAATTATTTTTCAGCTTTTTGTATATTATGTATTTTTTTATGAAACCGTTTAACATGAAAACATTTTTTCACTTATTTGTGGTATCGGACGAGACAAATTCCAGAAAGGATCGAAGGTATCGATGAGTAGCCACAGTATGTGTCCTTCAATGTAGATTTTACATGACCCTTGAAACTCTCAGCAAACTTGGAAGTTTTCCATCGCCAAATATATCAACCAGTTTTTTTTTGTAACATTCATCAGCTATAGATCATCGGTGGAGACGAATACATTTTTTTTTGCTTTATTCATATCCGACTTGTTATTTCTACCCATGACCATTTTATCAATTGGAATTCACAGATTTATCAACACTTTTTTGTGGAAATACATCAACCATTTTTAATGGACTTGCAGAAGAACTACAGAAAAGTGATAATTTACATTGAGTTGATATTGCTGTAGATTATATTCATTTCTAAAAAATTTTCCTTCAATTACTTCTGAAGATTCTTAACGGAAAAGCTTTCTCAACGAATTCCCCAAGCAATATTTGCTGTCAACGACTTTTATATATGTATAGTAAAATGTAGTATGTGATTACAATGAAAAACGTAATATGAAAAAACCTTTACATTTGATGTTTATTTTTATCAATAATACAAAACACGTTACAAGACATATAATATTAAACAAAATATAATATCATTTTAATGATAAACAGTAACATAATACATTAATTCTTCAAAAATATTGCAGTCTTTATAATAAACATGTACCAACATAATTTTGTCGAAATTCATAATGCCATCTCAAAAACCGCATCATATTCGAAATATGAACTTTATTAAATATATTCCGCACTATTATACTTTAACCAAACAGGATTTCCTTCATTCACACATTCCAGAACTTCTAATAATGACTCTCAATGAAATTTAATCATCAGGATGATAGATGATATAAATGTAAAAGTAAGCATCAACCAACTGTATATAATTTCAAAAAATCGGCAAACAAATATGCTTTACTTTTATTTCTGATTAAGGCATGTTTCAAAAGACTGAAATCAAGATATCCTAAAAATTGGCGATTCATCAATATGTGCTTTGAAGTCACCAGCAAACTGTTGTCTCAAAATCTTGGCTACCGACTGTGGCGCAAAAATTCTATTATCGAAAGTCGTAACCCTAGAGGATAGTATGAAAAAAAAAGATCTATTTTCATTTTATTGCAGAGTAAATTTTCTAAGTAAACGATAACCATCATTTCTACAATATGCAATCTCTGAATGGACAGCGTCTAATAAAATGACACCCGAAACAGCTGAACATCTATAAAGTTTTTAGTCCTGATATTTGGTATACTACTTGAATGTCAAACACTAATATGGGGTTTTCTTAACTATTCGAAAAACCACTAGGCTGTTACAAAAAGGGCAATAATTGCTTTACTTCTTTATTTACTATATAAGACTTGGATTTCGATACTTGCTATCTTCCTACTTGTAATTTATAGAAGTCACTGCAGATAATGTTGACTGGGTGCCCGTTACAAAGATTATGAGTTTATATTTCATCCTCCTTCTCGTCAGTATTTGAATAAAATCTTTTCTGGTAGATGGATTGTTCGATTGTTCCAGCGGATTGGCCCTTACGGTCAGCTGATTCGAGACCGTTCACTATTGCTGAATATCAGCACATTGCAACAAAAATGCTTCAGAACGTCCAAAACTGTTTGGAAAAAAAAAGATGGAAGCATAATACTACTTTGAAAGTAAAAGTAAATTGGTAGTAGTGAACTTTTAACGTCCCACTTTGGCAAGTCAAAAACTCAAAGCTGTGCTCAGAAAGAGTGACCCTTTCGATTAAAAAATAGCTTTGAAAAAGCACTGAAAAAAAAATATATGATCCTTTAAACAAATCATCACTTGACTCCAATCCTGCTCAAGATCGTACCCCACCGAGGGGTATGTCTATTATCATATCAATAACACATAACTGGAATTCGAGATGGCTTATGTTTTTCTGTAACAGAAAATTTATAAAGAACTAAAATAAATATAACGAACAAATATTGCACACGTTTCAATTTTTGAAAACGTCAAAGAGAAAATATTGTATAAAAACGACAACTTTTCACATGGTATCAAATTTGATTTTGTACAAAATAAAAACACGTTTTGATAATAATTTTGGAAAATATAGCCTACAGAGAGAATTTTCGAAGGTCACTTTTTTTAGTTGAACCTGATCTGATTCGAAAACTGAATTCAGTTAGGTGGGAAAGTTGGTATAATAATTGGCATATGGTTATTTATAGCATTAGTCGAATGGATGAATGAATGGTCAAAAAAGGACATTCCTATTTTATGTGCATTAGACATTGTTGTATCAGGTACATAAACAGTATGAGAGTTAGTGAAGAAAAGATTGGTGTCCTGGGAAGAACCTACAGATTCGGCACCTAGTGACAAATGAGTTGCTTCTTTGGGAAGCACCATAGGCACAAGTTGTGTCTTCTGGTTCGTATGTGCACGACTGCTATGTAACACACACTGGTATCTATGCCGAAAAACCATATCACAGTGCTCACATTGATATCTTTTTTTAGAATGCCTCCACAAATAATGGAGCGCAAGACTTCTCTTCGTGTGATACCTGCTCAAACCCGTATTTTTGCACCAAGTACAGGTAAGTCCACGCCGAGTCACTAGCTGAGCCATGTATTTGTCAACTAACTTATTAATACCACCGGAGGGAGAAAGTCCAGCTCCTCGCCACTTCCTCAACTTGCTGTTCAAATGCCTTAGTACTTCTACCTCATCGGTGTCCCAAAAGGGTAGGACAATCTTCTTTGGATGAACCTGTTTTCTAGGTCGTTTTCCATGCGACAAAATTGGTAAATTAGCTTTCGAAGCTAGACTAGAATGGATCAGCATGTGCGTAATAATCAGGAACTGGTTGTCGAAAGCTGAGTCACATAAACGACAACGATACTTCAAATCCGGATCGACATTCTCTTTGGAATCGTCAATTTTGGCGGGAGATGTGGCACTGTGCCGGTGCGTGTACTGGTGTGTATCGAGAGACAAGTCATCTTCGAACTCGCAACCGCACGTTTGGCAGACGAATAAGGGAAGTTCCATTTCTTCTCCATTGTCCTCGTCAGCCTGGCTACCAACATCTCCCGCCTCAGGAAAATCCGACTGGATTCTGTGGGTCAGATTAACTCTGCTCATGTCTTCAGCTGATCGAGGTTCGCTTTCAGGTTCTGATCCATCGCTTGCTTCCATGTAATTGAAGAGACGAGCAGCTCCGTGTTGTTTAGGTATATGATTTTTCCACGTCTTAACATCTGTTTGTAGGAAACGATTACTCTGCTGCAGTAAAGCTGCTGCTGTGCTCAAATCATGGGTCTTCAACAGTTCCTGGGTCTGACTGAAATAAAAAATTATAATGAGAGAGACGAACAAATTTGAATATATAAGGAAAATGAGTGACACACATGAAAAAAGTAACTCTTGAAACTTGCTGATCGTTCTGAAAAAAATATGGTTCAAATAAGTTACTTCTTTGCATGATCTACACATTCATGTATAGAGTTTCAAATTGATTACTTCCTTCCTTTCTTTGGAAGATTCTCTCATCCCTTTTTTTTGTATCAGATGGAGTAGTAGAAAGCCAAAAACTTTCTTTCCCAAAAAAATTAATCACTCCTGAAAATATAACCCCTTCAATTCATTAAAGGAACTGTTCACATAAAATATCTTCCATTCAGTTTTATCATTTTCTTTTCTCTTAGGCTCACAACATCCTTTCATTGATGAATATCTAGTGATTGAATACCACTATTGTCACATTCAATTTGATCATAATCAGATATTTCTAACAATTCACAAAAAAATATGGTCCGCTTACCACATAAATTAGTATATCAACCTGAAGTAATATTCACATATTTTTGAACTGCAAATAATTCCTGTTAACCCAATTCAGTCCAGTCCTGTTGTTTGTTTAATGGTCGTTTTCCCACTACGTTCGACGATTGTTTCTTGTGAATCAGTTGTTACCGATCAGCAACATTTCATATGGTAAGAGATGTTGATAACACATTTAGTCACTCTTCTATATACTAAACATTTCATAGGTGTATGCTTGTTGGTGAAGGCATATACCAAAATCATCAAAAATGAAAAAAGTTGGTGGTGAGAGAAAAACAGATACATCTCTTGAATCTGAGGAAAATTCAATGGAGGAGAAAATGGAGGAGAAAAATGAAACTGAAAATAACAATGTACATATGATAAACACAGATAAATGGTCGCCGCTTATACGATTTTTCAGGAAGCAGTTTGGATTTAAAAAGGAACCAGGTAAGTGCATTATTACTGGCAGTACAGTGTACGTGAGATGAATTGTTAGTAAAAGATGAACATTTTATATTTGAGATAAGAACTATTTTGCAGGTATATAGGTCAGCAAATTGTTCTCAGTAAACATAACTCCTGTGACCTAGGGCGACAAAAATTTCTGTAGCTCGGGCTTCCCAGACAAGAATCTTAACCAGTTAATCATTTCCGACAAAAAATTCCAACCCCCACTCTTCGGGTGTGAAAAAATTTCACATTAGCCAGTCGCCACAAATTCTTACATAGAGTAATAATAATTAGAAGAAAAAATCCTGGGCGGAAAAATGCAGAAGGCTATCAATCTTGGCTCATTGCGTTTGCTTTGGGCACATGATTCCCAAACCCAATGATCACTTACCCATTGATTGATAATGCTGGCGCGCCCTCCCGACCATGTCGGAGCTTCGAGACAGGCCCCGACTATCCTATCCTTTGGATAAAATAATAATAACACTATATTTCCAATATATGTATATTAAATACATATAGATACATATAGGAATAGTCAGTATGGCAATGAAACATAATTAAATATACCCTTGCTAGTGGAATACAGCCAGCTAGAGTCTGATTATACTTGCTAGGATTACTTGAAATTGTTAGTAGTGCATAACAGTTTGAAATCATTTGAAATTTTTCATGGGAAGAACTCAGATATATTATAACGATTGTTATTTAAAATATAACTTCATTTGTTTGAAAACCTTTGTTGTTTGCACTGGTGATGACTTGTGGCAGACGAATTTAAATTTTAATAGACAAATAAAGAGAATGAATAGGAACACTATATCTACATAAAGGTACATGATAATTTTCGCATTGCCTGGTATTATGATGATGTATTCGCGAGTTGAACAATTTTACATTGAACATCCGGCGATAAAGAAGACAACCCCCAGAACAGAATATCATACCTGAACCTGCTTCCAATTTGAGCGTAATAAATATTCAAGAGCTGGGCATAAGTGAGAATTGTTTTTTCATTTCTAAACAAAAAACCAAATGATTTCAGTTTCTTGATGAGAGAATAACAGTGACTTTTCCAATTTAAATTGCCAGAACAGTTATTTTGCCGGAGATGAAATCTAATCATATTAGTTTTTAGAACTGTCAAAAGGTAGAGAATCTGTGTTAAACCACTCCATTAGCGAATCAGTAAGATACTGGTATTCTTCAGTTAGAACTATATCTTTCTCATCAGAAATTATTGGCTTTTGTATTACAATAGTGCACTTGCCCACTCGTGCCCACTTGCTTAGTCGTGATTTTTTGGCCAAAAACAACACCGTAATCATGTTCCAGCCACAGTATTCACCATATTCGACACCCTGCGACTTTTTCCTGTGACCTAGTTTGAAGCATTTTTTGTCAGTGTTGATGATTTGAAAAATATCATTTTGTGATCAGACATTATATCACCGATAATGCAAGCTATTGAGTTCGTATAGGTTAGAGCTAATTCATAGAAAATCCAACCTATTAGGTGTTATTCGATCCCTAGAATGAGGCTTAGCCAAGATTAAAATCACCTGATTTTGATACCTTGGTTGTATATTTGTTCCAAAACACTATAAATACGAGTATTATCAAGAAAATAGTTATTACCATGGATAGTCTTGTATCAGTTTGCTGCCATCAGGGAATTTACAACAAATTTCGTTTATCTGAAGTTTTCCTCTTCATATATATCATTGAATTTAATTACGGAACTCTCAGTGCCATCTCTTACATAGATTACAAACCTCCACAGTTTAAATCACTTCTGCAATAATAAATGATTGGTTTGTAACTGTTTATATATTTTGACACAATTGACCTAATACTACGGTTGAGCTTACTTTCTATAGTCTATTGACTTAAGCAGCGGAGTAATAAATCATTTTGAGGTAGCTGTCCCATAGGTGTACATAATTAAGTCGGGTGAAAAGTGAAAATTGCAGTATTTATTTCACACATTCAATGCTGTTGCTTCTGAATTTTGCCAATTGATAACGGCCATCTTGTTGAAGCTAGATCTGTTAAATTGGCTGTCATTTATTCAGTATATTATGTCAAATCACCATGGAAGGATATAGCATTCAACAATACGTGCAATTGTTTCATAAAAATGGGTGTTCGGTTCGAGCAACGTACCGCGCGCTTCGCCCATTTTACGGTCGCCATAATCGTCCTAACGTCGGGACTTAGGCCTGCACTTGTATAAAATTCAACTGACACAGGAACTGAAGGTAAACGACCATAGACAACGAAGTCCGTTTGCTGAATGGGCTTTGGAGCAGTTGACAACTGACCCTAATTTTCATCGAAAAATCATATTTAGCGATGAGGCCTATTTCTGGAAGAATGAGTACGTTAACAAACATAATTGTCGAATTTGGGACGATACCAATCCACATGAGATCCGAAAGCGTCCAATGCATCCCGAAAATTCATTGTTTGGTGTGGATTTTGGGTTGGCGGCGTCATCATTCCATATTTCTTGGAGAACGACGTTGGCCAGGCCTTTACCGTCAACGGAGAGCACTATAAGTCGATGATTACCAACTTTTTTTGGCCTGAATTTGATGATCTGATGATCTGACTTTTTCTTGTGGTTCAAACCGCAGGCTGAACGCTCGATTTTCACTTGCTATCGTCCAACCCGTGTTAGGAATCACACGTAAAGGGGTAAGACCTCGTTAGTCCTTAGCTCGCACAAGTTTCGACTTCTGAGGGTTGTCGTTCGTAGGGGTGCGATAGCTGGTTTACGGAAAAAACATATTTTGAACATATTTTTAAAAACATAAAAAATTTGAAAAAAAAAAATAAGAGATTCCAAACCAAGTTACTTCACGACGTTTCGATTGTTAGTATCCACAATCGACTTCGGGTGATAACTGGACCATTTCCTCCATGATCTGACTATTTATGGGTCATTCGAGTACTTTCACTTATCAACGCTTTCCTCTTTCCGCTTCACCGGTTCAGCGGGAGATGACCGCATGATTATGGGTTTCCATATGTTGCGTACCCCTACGCTAGCTTGTTGTTGGACAACATATATGCAGCTATCTCCTAAACCAATGTTCCTCCCAATCCTCCCTGTGTATGATCTCAGCTTAGGACCACTCGATGTTATGTTGATGGGTCCAAAGATATTTCTATCAGGGATATCAAATCGTTTTATATAATATTAGACAATGGAAGTCCGAACTAATGAAATTTATTATTATTCTTAATTTATTATATGAAATCGATATATATATCATCGAAAAAAAATGAAGCTGTGAAATGACCAAATCCATCTTTATTAGAAAGAGAAACTGTGCTTGTTGGTGGAAACTACAAACTTGCAATTCGTTTTTATCTCAAGAAAGAAATATCCACCCTCGACAAAATAATGGGAGCCTTGAAAGAAGACCAAAGTGTGCTTCCAATGATGATTGTGGAAAATTTCAAAGGAATTTCATTTTTGCTGGAAGAAACAAAAATGAAATTGATTGCTGTAGGAGACATTACCTGAGGCATATGAGTGAGTTTTGGCGAGAGAATAGAAAGATTTATTATCTGGACGAAACTTGGTTTCGTCCAGATAATAAATGGAGGCGCTATGTCTACTGATAACTATATGCTGACCTGCAGACCGGTAAAATAGTTCTTCCCTATTCGAATGGATGCCTATCTCACCATAACATGTTTTGCAGGATTACTTCGTAATCTGTTGGAGAGGAATGTGGCTCGGGAAATGGTAAGTAGAAACTTGTCATATTTGATGGAATTTGCCGATACTTGATGAAAATCCATAACGTATTGGAATGGCACAATTATTATTCATTCGATTATTTAATTTTCTGAAATTTCCAGATGGTAGTTGAACCTAAGGCGTCTACTAGCGCATATGATAGAAACCACCCAAGAAATGTGGACCAGGAAGTGGTATGTATAAACCTGTCATGTCTTGAACTCGTATATGGAGCTCACTTCAAAATGGCACAATCATCATCAATTTAATTTTTTTCTGAATTTATCCAGGTGATTGTTGAACCTGAGGCGTCTACTAGTGCATATGATAGGAACCACCCAAGAAATGTGGACCAGGAAGTGGTATGTATAAACCTGTTATGTCTTGAACTGTAAACGGAGCTCACTTCAAAATGGCACAATCATCATCAATTTAATTTTTTTCTGAATTTATCCAGGTTATTGTTGAACCTGAGGCGTCCACTAGCACATATGATAGAAACCACCCAAGAAAAGTGGATCAGGAAGTGGTATGTATAAACCTATCATGTCTTGAACTCGTATATGGAGCTCACTTGAAAATGGAACAATCATCATCAATTTAATTTTTTTCTGAATTTATCCAGGTGATTGTTGAACCTGAGGCGTCTACTAGTGCATATGATAGAAACCACCCAAGAAATGTGGACCAGGAAGTGGTATGTATAAACCTGTCATGTCTTGAACTCATATATGAAGCTCACTTCAAAATGGCACAATCACCATCTATTTATTTTTTTCTAAATTCATCCAGGTTATTGTTGAACCTAAGGCGTCTACTAGCGCATATGATAGAAACCACCCAAGAAATGTGGACCAGGAAGTGGTATGTATAAACCTGTAATATCTTGAACTGTATACAGAGTCGACTTCAAAATGGCACAATCACCATCTATTTATTTTTTTTCTAAATTCATCCAGGTGATTGTTGAACCTAAGGCGTCTACTAGCGCATATGATAGAAACCACCCAAGAAATGTGGACCAGGAAGTGGTATGTATAAACCTGTAATATCTTGAACTGTATACAGAGTCGACTTCAAAATGGCACAATCATCACCTATTTAATTTTTTCCTGAATTTATCCAGGTGATTGTTGAACCTGAGGCGTCCACTAGCGCATATGATAGAAACCACCCAAGAAATGTGGATCAGGAAGTGGTATGTATAAACCTGTCATATCTCGAACTCGTATATGGAGCTCACTTCAAAATGACACAATCATCATCAATTTAAATTTTTTCTGAATTTATCCAGGTGTTTGTTGAACCTGAGGCGTCCACTAGCGCATTTGATAGAAACCACCCAATAAATGTGGATCAGGATGTGGTATGTATAAACCTGTCATGTCTTGAAATCGTATATGGAGCTCACTTCAAAATGGCACAATCACCATCAATTTAATTTTTTTCTAAATTTATCCAGGTGATTGTTGAACCTAAGGCGTCTACTAGCGGATATGATAGGAACCACCCAAGAAATGTGGACCAGGAAGTGGTATGTATAAATCTGTCATGTATTGAACTGTATATGGAGCTCACTTCAATTATATATATATTTCATTTTTTTCTAGGTGATTGTTGAACCTGAGGCGTCTACCAGCGTATATGGTAGAAACTACCCAAAAAATGAAACCCAGGAAGTGGTAAGTAGAAACTTTTCATGTAAAGTATTGTGCTCGTTTATAGCGATTAGTTCAAAATGATACAATTATAATGTATTTGCTTTTTATATTTTTCTGAAATTGTCCAGGTGATTATTGAACCTGAGGAATCTACCAGGTCATATAATAGAAACTACTCAAGAAATGAGCCCCAGGAAGTGGTGAGTAGAAACCTTTCATATAAAATCTTGTATTCGTTTGTGGAGCTTACTTTAAAATAGCACAATTTTTCCCAGGTGATTGTTAAATCTGAGCCTTCTACTAACGCATATGGTAGAAACTACCCAAGAAATGAGACCACCCAGGACGTGGTAAGTATAAACTTTCCATGTAACGTATTTTACTCATATATGGAGCTTAATTTGATATGGCACAATAACCATTTGTTTGGTCATATATTTTTCTGAAATTTTCCAGGTGATTGTTGAACCTGAGGATTCTAGTAGCGCATATAGTAAAAACTACCCAAGAAATAAGGGCCAGGAAGTGGTGAGTAGAAACCATTCATATAAAGTCTTGAATTCGTATATGAAGCTTAATTCGAAATGACATAATTATTATTTATTTGATAATTAATTTTTCTGAAATTTCCCAGGTGGAAGTTGAATCTGACGCGTCTACTAGCGCATATGATAGAAACTATCCAAGAAATAAGGCCCAGGAAGTGGTGAGTAGACACCTTTTATTGGAAGTCTTGTACTCGAATATGAAACCTAGTTTTAAATTTATCCTTTTTTGATTGCTCATTTTTCTAAACTATTCCAGGTGGGAGTTGAACGTGAGGCGGCTACCAGCGTATATAGTAGAAACTACCCAGGAAATAAGGCCCAGGAAGTGGTGAGTAAAAACCTTCGAGAAGAGTTTATTTGAATAAATTTTTCCCCTGATTTTCCAGATGGGGCCTAGAGTATATAGCGGAAACTACCCAAGAAATATAGCTGAGGAAATGGTAGATATGAACCTCCTATATAAAGTCTTGTATTCGTACATGAAGCTTCATTAAAAATGGAATAATTATTATTCATTTAATTGTTCTTTTTCTAAATTTTTCCAGGTGGAAGTTGAACCTGTTNAAATAATATATTTGGTTATCAATTTTTTCTAATTTTTCAGGGGGGAGTTGAACCTCAGGCGTCTACTGGAGCATATGTCAGAAACTACCCAGGAAATATGTATCAGGAAGCGGTAAGTATGTACTTGTATATGGAGCTAAGTTCAAAATTGCATGATCATCATTTATTTTCATGAATTTTTTCAGGTGGAAATTGAACCTGAGGCGTCTACTAGCGCATATGGTAGAAACTACACAAGAAGTATGGCTCGGGAAGCGGTAAGTAGAAACCTTTTATTGAAAGTCTTCTACTCGAATATGAAACTTTATTCAAAATTGCACAATTATTACTTACTTGATTGCTCATTTTTCGAACTTTTCCAGATGGAATTTGAATCTGAGGAGTCTATTAGCACATATGGTATTAACTACCCAAGAGAAGAGCATGGATACCGTAATCATATGAGAGCTGAAACTCAGTACCGGAAGAAATATAAACGAGTTATAAGAGAAATATACGAGGACTATATGGAAGAGCAGGATGAGATTATTAATGAGGTAAGTGAAAAAATCATCTTAATTTCAAAAACTATATTCTAAGGGGATAGGGGATGAAGCAGTAATAATTTCAAGATGAATTTCTTGTTGTTCGAAATTATATATTCCAGGTATCATTTGCATCTAGAGATTCCTCTTACTTGTCAGACGAAATAGCAGGACCTTATAAAATACAAAAAGTTGAGCGTGTAATGAGAACGACTGATCAAAATATTGACAACCAGTACAGACACCCCATAATACCAGAGCAGGAGAGCAATGAAGAGGTAGATAAAAACAGTTATCATAATTTCGAAAAATATATTCCTGATCATTTCTGGATTCTCTTCTTGATTTTTTCACTTGATTTCTTGCAGAATTTTAGTTCTGATTATCTATTTGGTATCAGAGGAGTATCTGTACCGTCTTACGAAAGAACTGAAATGATGAGGAGTAACACTATTACTGAAGAGCCGGGATCCTCAGGAGTTCAATCCATGAGAACCACGGTTGAAAAAATGCAGTATGAGCGTGTTTTGCAAACAGCTGATCACAACATCGAAAACCTTGTAAGACATGAGCAGTATACAGATGAGGTAGTTATCTCGATTTTGAACATATTATTTCATTGCAGAAGTTGGTAAAGAGATTTGAAACTGAATTCTTTTCTTGACTTCAAGAAGTGATTTCTTTTCAGACATACGAGCCTGATTCTTCTGTCTCCATAATAGAAATAAGTGATTCTGACTAAGTTGAGGCAGGAGAATTGCCTTTGCTACCTTTAAGAAGAGCATGAACATTTCTTCCAAAACACTTCGTAGACAAAGACATCATCTTTCTTGATAGAAAAGAAAACACAACTGTGAGAAATTTAATGTAACTTCCTCATCCTAACCTGAGGATGAGGAATTTGTGAGAAATTCTTCAATTTTATGAATGATATTTCAAAGTTGGTCAGTTTTCAATTTCATACCTTTCCATACTTCGACATTTTTTCTAAAAATTGAAATTTGAAGAAAAGGTATAGAATTGGAAACTGTTTTTATCCTCAAATCTAAAAAATAAACAACACTAAAGTACCCGATAAATTTGTGCGGAAACAAGTATGAAACCAAGGTTGAACAATGTGTAAAGGTGACATGGTGTATCCCAATTGGTTTTTAACGCGAAATAGAAGAAGGCCCTCACCTTTGTGGGGGCTATAATTTCCTGTCGAAGGAAGAGACTCGTGCTTTGTCTCCGTACGCGTGTTCTATTGATCATTTTACGTGAGTCCAAACAATTTTTTTCCTCTACTGTGTTATATCTGATTATTCACCTCAAATGATGTACTACTTGGCTGCCTTCTCATTCAAGGTTCTATCGACCGTTCTCTAACATAGCTCTCCATTTTTTCATCATATTCGTAGATAGATATTAAAGATGACAACTTGTATTTTTATTAAAACTTTTCTAGGGTAATTGAAATAATATAAATATATATTCTTATAATAGACGAAATTCAATAATTCATGTTTTCATCGGCCTCAAGAGGCATACAGAACGATAGGTGGTGTATGCTTTTTTTTTGTGAAAAGTATATCTGAAGTACAAACATATTCAAAACATTCGCTCTCCTAGAAGTACTCAAATATTGAACATAGCAATGTTCTTGTGTTGCTAGAGAATATGTCATCGAGTATTTCGACTATCGTGCATATGCTATTCTCAGTTGATGGTAGTATCAAATCCAGAATTGCATTTGATCAGTTTTTTTGAAGTTTTCAACACCTCAGCCTTCATCCATTCGTTCAGAAGATTCATTTATATATTATTCATTCTCGGGGTAGTTAGTATTAGTTTAGTTAAAATGTTGCACTAAAAGTGATATGTTTCTCGGATATTGTTGGAGAAATGAAACCTTGAAAAACCATTGATTGTAAAATAATTTTCATGTTATTTCAACTTTGAATCATTATAACGAAAAAAAACTCGATCCCACGAGTGTGTGAACAAATTTGAAAGAACATGTCAATTTTTGTTGCGAGGAAGTATAATTTTGATACAATTTTCACCAATGGAATGGAGCATGATATATCAATTGAAAGTCCGTTGTCACTCCTCTATCTCTGTGATTTCTTTCAAAATTATTCGAATTCCATTAAAAAAATCGAATACTTGCACTCGTTCATTTTATTGAGGAAACGCCACATGAAACTAAAATAACATTCAATTGGGTTTCACGTCGCTGTAGTAACGACAATTATGTTTATTTTTCACCATTCAATATAAAAGTGCACTTGTCTGAAAAACATATTCAGTAAATTTAAGTTATTCATCAATTTCTTAGTGAACTCATTACATGACGTGAGTCATCGATCAAGATAATCTTCGTTTAATCCTTAAACTAGTTTTACTTTGAAATATTGGAATTTGTGGGGTTTTAAAATCCGAAAAATACTTGCAGTCCAATCATTGAAAGTTAAATATGGCGATACTGTTTAATTTTGTCAAACAGCACCGATTTGCACAAAAACGTAGATATGAGCTCTACTTTCTCTCTATTTCAATGTCGACCTTGTGCCAGGGTTGTTTTTACCCTGGGATTGAATGCCCCTTCTCGGGGATGAAAAATGTTCCATCGAAAATAAGTCTGAAAAGGATATAGGGGGTAGTTGCTGCTTGCAAGAGGGTGAAGTGGTTGAGTAAAAACATCTTATCAAAATTGGATCCTCTTGAAACAAAAATTGACTCATTTCCTAATTTTTTTAACAAACATCGTTTTCTTAATTACGGGGGATCAACTTTTACGTTAGAATACCCTGTATAAAGGTTCAATTTATTAATGACTCATTTCACATTAATTCATTTCACGAAGTTTATACCGTTGGTGTCGATTTTATGAGATCGGTGAAATATTGAATGGGTTTCGATTTCAATCATTAACATTTTCATGTCGAACTTTGTAACCACCTTCATTATTCTTGTCCTCGGTTTGAGCAGGGATAAATGTAATATTAGTCGCAGATCCAGGGAATTCACTAATCATTCACTTTTGATTAGAAAGTTATATGGTTATCGTTATGAAGAAGTTATGGATACGTAAGTTGTGCTCAAATATCACTTTTGGTGCAAACCAAAAAAATTTTTTACATATATTTGTATCTTCTAAATATGTTAATGATTATAATTGTTAATAAGTTAATAAATGAAATGATTAGCATAATACTGTATCTTTTCTGTTTTATCCCAACTTACCGTTAATAATACAATATGTATAACATTAAACTTTCATTAGAAGTTTTACATGAAGAAATAAAGTTATAGATATCAGTATACTGAACATCTATAAATCATTCACAGATATGTAGCATAGCAAAGTTAGGATTTATAAATACTTTATATTCTTGTCCATATCCCGATTCCATAACGACACTCGCCCTGGACGCCCCAGCACATCAATAACCGATGAAAATGTTGAGAAAGTGGAGAAAATTGTTAAGTAAAATCTTTGAATCACTATTAGCAAAGTTGCTGAGGATGTCAGCATATCGGTTGGCTTATGCCATGCAATTTTTTCGAAAATTTTGGAAATGAAACGTGTGGCATTGTGGAATTGTTGAATGAATGGCGAACCAGATTTTCTTAAAAGGGTCATAACTACTGACGAATCATGGTTATGACATGATTATAACATCACGTATCATTGCTTGTTCGTGATTTTTTGACTAAACACAACACCGATACTCTTCCTAAGCCACGGTATTCACCAGATTTGACCCCTTGCGAGTTTTTCCTGTTCCCAAAATTGAAGAAACCCGTGAAAGGACGGTGTTATGCGACGATTGAGGGGATAAAAACCGAATCGCTGAAAGAGCTCAAGGACATACCAAAAGGTGCATATCAAAACTGCTTTGAGAACTTGGACAAACGCTGGCACGAGTGTATTATATCTGAGGGGGACTACTTTGATGGGGACATAATATAAATTAATGAATAAATGAATATTTTTTGAGAGAAATGAAAATTCACCTCAGTTTTTGAACAGAACGTATGCCAAAAATCATGTCTCGCAGCTTATCTATTCAACCGACCCCATATCTCAAACAAAAGTCAGTTGGAGAGACTGTTGGAGAGAGTGTATTTGAAAAACGTTTTATCATTATGAATCAGTTCTTTCTTTCAAAAATTCAACTTCTATAAATTGAATACTTGAATCAAAAGTTCTGAATTCCAGTCAAAGTTACAGATCTACAGGTGACCGACCTGGTTTCGAATTAATGGTTTTTTCAGAAACAAAACAAGTTTAAATGCAAAAGAAATCTGATAAATTGAATAATAAAAAGTAAAAAAGAAAACATTTTGTTTTTAAGGTTGTTCAAATATACGACCATTAATATTCTTATATTTTTCTGATAACTCCTCGTTTAGGATATGAAGTCTCATGTGAAATAAAATATTGGGTGTTCTATTTTAAGAAATAAAAACATTTTTTTCGAATTTTGATTATTCCAGTAATAGAAACAAAAGATTCTGTTCAGTTTAGAATTTTAGAATGTATAAATGAAACGTACTATTCAATTGAGTTTTTGTTGAAAATGGAGGCGGTTGAATGGACCAGCTTGACATTATATTTGGCATAGCTTCCGAACCCTTATATATAACCTTTGATTTCTAACAGAATCGAAATATGGAGAATAATATCTAGAATTTCTGTAAAAAATATCATTGACATGCCACTCGCTAACCTGTATATCGTTAAATAATTTAAAGAAGCATTGGTATCTAAAACATTAATAGGAAATATATTTTGTTTATTTTACTCCTCCTGAAACTTCTAGGAGAAGCTCGAAGTGCAACACATGTCTTCAGATTGTTAATGAAGTAATCTTACCTACAAGAGGTTGTATTCGTATTCACCATCGAATTGGAAGTGGAAGCGGAAGCACTGCCGTTGAAAGAATTAGTCCTTAAGATATTACCATTTGAGCGGTTTCTCTGTTCCAGCGGGCTAAAACAAGATTTAAAAAATATTAAAATGGATTGTGGAACTGTAAATTTCCATTTATTTGATATTATTTCAGACAATTTTCTGGTGCATGTGGTAGAAATAGTTTTCATCACATTCATTCAACGCTTTTACACATAAAGTAGTAGTTTCATACTTTTAAAATAATTCAAAATTTTCAACTTCTTCTAACAAAACTTCGCAACTGAGAGGCAAAAAAAGTGATTTGAGTATGTGTCTACTTACTGTTGCTCCTGTTGATGTACCGACAATTGCGTCAAATCGTCAGCTAGATAATTGCATTTTCCACATGCCCTCTTGTTATGAACTTTTAGAACATGAGTTGCAAGCCTTTCCGATCTGGCTGCTTTGTAATCGCACAGTCCACAAATAAATGGTTTCAAGTGAGTGTTCATGTGTCTCTTAAGGCACCAGTTATCAACTCCGGACCATGAACAGTAGCAACAAGTGAAACGTTTCTCTCCTTTTTTCTTCCCGCTACCTCTGGACAAGTTTCCTGATTTACCAGTGTTTTTCAGATCCGGTTGTACTCGGGCATTACTCAAGTTTCTAGACATGTTATTGAAACCAGGAATCGATAAGGAACTTATAGTGGAGAGATCACTGGATTGGTTCGAAGCATTGGAATTGTTATACTTTTGATAATAAGACATCCCAGAGGCATTTTTTGGAGGGTGCCTCCTTATTCTGTTCAAATCATATGGATGGTCCCGATGCATTCTGAGGAAGTGCTTTTTAACGTGGTCCGCTCTGTTGAACTGTTTTTGGCAGACATAACACTGGAAAGGTTTCTCTTCTCTGTGAATATTTTCATGTCTCGTGAAAAGATCCCTCCTGTCCGTGGCATATGGACAGAATGTACAACTGTATCGTTTACTGGCTGTATTACTTTGCTCAGAGTTACTGGAAGATGAACTTCCCATCACTTGCGAACTTACTGGAATAGTTGAAGAAGGATTACTGACTGTTTGATTATGGAAGTCTTCATTCTGTGAAGCAGTACTGGAAGCTGGTTTTCCACAATTACTTTCAATTTTAATTTTTAGTCTCTGTAAAAATTTAACAATCTCTTGAAGAACAGGGTTATCCTTTGTTAACGTGTCGCAAGATTCATCAGTATTGATATTATGTTGACGATTCAGGTGTATTCTAACACACCTGGCCCATGCACTCTCGTACGGACACTGGGGACAATGAAAAGCCCTCACTGTAGAGTGGGTTCCAAGCCAGTGTTCTGCAACTCTGATCAAATAACCCACGCAATCACATTCAGAACACCTAAAGAGCTTTTGCGCAGGATTATACGTAGCAATCTTGGACTGCGTCCACTGTAAATTATCGTCACTAGGTATCCATTTGTCCTCCAATACCGTACCTAAAACTATACCAGGATTCGGTTTGTGACACTGAAATCCAGAATTTAGTATTCCGCTAGTTGGGAAACCATTCTGCATCAGGGCTGCCAAACCGAAAGCTGTTAAATGTTCTTCGGGTTTTAGTAAGGGATTATCAACTTCATATTCTATCGGAGTTAAACCTCGGTCTTGGCTTGTAGATGCTAATCTATCATTGGCACTCAAATCAGGTAATCCATCTTCTCCGTATAGTTTTCTGGTTATTTCTTTAAACATGTCTTCATAACAGTCGATGGCGCTGCCCGTCATAGGCATTGCCACTTCCATTTTTATGAAGCTGCCTCCCTATGGAGGTACTAGAACCTGAAAATATATTTAGTAGCCTTAAAAATATTGAATGTGGGAAACTATTGATAAATATGAATGGAGAAGCGAGAAATATGACAGATCGAATCCACTCAATTTCACGTGACCATTCAACTGAATAATTGCCTGATAGAAGTTGAACCTTCGAACGAATATAGATACAAGGAATCGGAAATTTGTTAAATAACAATGCTCGAACTTTTCTCCATATCAAAATATATTTTTAATTTTGTTATTATTTAATATTAAATCAGAAATGGTTTTACTTTTATTTTATTTTATCATTTACTTCAATAAAGCTACCTCTCTCTACTATTTTTTTGCAAGTGGAACTTCAAAACGTGAAACCTAATAAAAAAATAATTTCAGCGCCCAGAACTCTCATCAGTGGTACTTGGTCGGATCATAGATGCACCTTTTGTTATAGAAAGATAGGCCACTTCATTGGAAAAGTTTGAAGAGGGACGAACAAGCGGTAAAACGGCTGCTTTGTGAAAATGACTGCATTAGACACGAGTCCGTTCTTACTGTGAAACATGTATTGCCAGGTTAGCATTTAATAGGGCTGACTAGGGTGCAGCAAAATGGTCCAACGTGCTTTTCTCAGACAAATCCATATTCTCTCACTTCTTTCGACCTATGTCAGTATACAAACACGAGCTTCGAAAAACCGAAAGTTACGAGGGAGGATAAATTATGGGTGGGAGGTCTCCCTTACGCACTATTTATTTGCGTTATTTTTATTTTTATGCACGATGATGGCCATTCACTCGTTGGCAGAGTCTTGACTGAATACCGGCCAGTAAAAATTCCGGATCTCAATCCAACTGGAACCACATCAGGTGAAGAAGACACCAGAATAATATTCGCTTTATGGACATATAACTATGAATTTTGGAACTCAATAATTTTGACATATAGCATGTCAACCCAAAAATTTGGAGTTTAAAACAACGTTTTTTGATCAGAGAATGTAAACTTTATAAGTAACTTTCTGAACCAAAAGTTTTTCGAGAATGTATTATTGTTTCCTTTTTTGGAAATATTTATATATAGATAACAATTATATCAAGAAAGGGTAATGCAGTCAAGCTGCTGGAAAATAATTCCATAGCAAACTAACTTGGGTGTCACACCAATAGCTCATTTCACTTATGTCTCGCTTGCGTTAACGTAATGATTTTCTTGGTCTTGGTTTTTCACAGTTTATCTCTTCAATCGAGGACCGTTTACCCGGTACTAATGTGCAACATCTTCCATTTGGAATATCATTATTACTCCTTTGAACAATTCGATTTGAGGAGTAGAGAGAAGACAAAGACAGAACCAGTTCACATGACAGTGATAGTAGATTACATCCTGAGATATGCGCTCTCAGTTATCATGTCTCCAAAGAAGGTCATAAAATGGACTATAATTCAACTAAAATTTTATCAACTGAAAGAAATACATCTTAAAGATTGCTTTTAATAGATAATTGCCTTAATAGAAGATCAGATATTGATTACCTCAGTAAAATATATGCCTTCCTATTAGATATAACTAGCTCGGTTGTAGTTTACTTGATGGATAATAAAATTTCGCGAATAATGAACAGATGTTATTCATTGATTTATTAGGAACACTTCCAATTAATGAACAACAATATCTCTTCTGAATGTCAAATCACGCAATAATATTAATATGTCCGTACTTTGTAGGATGATCAACTACAATTGCTCTTGTGAAGAAATATAAATAAATCTCGCTTTCCCAACCTTCGGCGACGCCACTGGCATTCTATCAAAACGGCTCCCAGTTCCGCCAATGTCACGATAGACCGAATATAAGGAAACACTCAGACTTACCACGTTGTAGATCGTATACAAACAGTGTGAGAGCATGACAGCATCACGAAGGAACTGGGGTGAATTTTCACAGCACTGTCACAGGATTAACAATAACACTAATGATATAAACAATTCAAGAAAAGATTGGAACGGGAGCAAACGCATGGGACGCTTGCTCCTACGATGTCTGACCCACCCAATACTGCGGCACCCGCTGCCCGCCTGGGGCTTCCTACCCCCGCCAAGCCACCCCACTATCGTCCCGACCCGACCACCCTTGCCAACCACCCACCCAACTCCTATACAGCCCTCCGCGGCGTTGCCACACACGTTTTCCCCTTCTGTCCCTAAGAAATTTGTCTTTTGTTATTGCATTATGTCTGCATTCAACGTAACCCCAGCAAAACACTTGTAATATCTTAGAAAATCCCAATAATGCGATTCTTTTTCCATTCATTGTTGATTTATAGCATCCTTAATAATATTCAGATATGTTTTGGCAAGGAAACCGTGTAATGTAATGATTACCTGTTACGTCTGTAGCAGGTTGTGAATTATGACTTTGGTAGAGGTGAATACCTTTGTGAATGAAACGGTAGATTAGGATTGATGTTATCAGATGTTATTACTTCAATAACATATATTAAAAAAAGTCATTTTTGGAGAGGAATCGGAATTTTTAATCAATCAATCAATTACATCAATTACTATCTTTGCTGGAAGTATTCACCTTCCACAATCTGGAAAATTAGTAATGGAGGACTTTATATAGGTGTAGACGCAATTTTTCTCGAAGAAAATTACTCTGTTTATCAGTAACATGTATTTCCAAATTTTGACTATCGAAAAAAGAATTAAAAATTTCTATGTTTCCATCTTCAGAAATTAAAATGGGCTATTTTGCAGTTTTCTTATTGAAAGTTTCTTTATTTTTCAAATTTCTTCGGCGTATATTGAAGAAATTTGAAATATATTATTAAGTTGTTTCAAAAATTTTGTCCGTTTTTATACTTTCACTGTAATATCTCAGTGAATACTTATTATAAATAAGCGCCATTTGAATCAGTGCACCTTTGCCAACGTAACACAAGTCGATTAATTCCGTAAGCATGAACATTGTGTACGTGGGATTAGATGAAGTTGACGGAGGCCGTTTTTGCCTGGTCCTGATTGACGAAGGTTCTACCGGTGAGAAAGTATGAAAGTGTTTGAGAAAGTGGTAGTCGGTTGGCGAAAGGTCTGGAGAGTTTGGTGGGTTAGGCATTGTAGCGGAGCAGGATCGGACCTCTTCTTTTGACCAGTGCCGGCTGCTGCTGGCCTTCATACAGTAACCACGGTCTTTTTTTGGTGGGTTTTCACCTTTGAGAAGTGCTTGGGTGGCTCATCGTTGAAAAAACGTTCTCAGAAAGTTTATTCCACATACCTGCAGTTCTCCAAATGACCGAGTTCTTAAACAGTGAAGTTCAAGGTGTTCCAGACTATCAAGGTTTCAAGTGATATTCGCGTCTCTAATCAGGCGGATGGCTCTTTTCTGGATGGAATCCAGCAGCTTCAGGGTATGCATGGGGGCGGAGCTCTATATATGAGAACAGTATTTCAAAGAAGGTCTGCTCTGAGCTTTACAAAGCATCAAAATCTGCTGAGGTGTCTACAGTTTTCTGGTTCGGAACAGTGTTCCAAGCTTTTGAGAAGCATTTTTTGCTATTCCAGCGACATGATTGTGCTAAGACATATTGGTGTATATTTTAACCCCCAACAAACTTATCGAAGCAGACAGCGGAATTGCCTGTCCTGGCATTATTATATCCTGTTCGGAGACATTTATCTTTTTGGAGAAAACCATCAGCATTGAATTGTACCTGGTTACTTTCACCTCAGTTAGAAATCACTCCTAGATCCTTATTAAGATATGCAACCTCCTGCTGCCGGTGAAGATGTGCATCCGCAGCCGATGTTCTGGAATCCAAATGGAATGACGAGACAAGTGTGCTGTCATCAGCAAATCAATATACTTATTGGATTTTTGTTTTTTTCCAATGAGTCGTTGATATACAATAAAAAGAGGGTGGGAGACAATATGGATCCCTGAGAGCACCAGGTGTTGATGGTTAATGTGTTCGAGATATATCCATCGACGGCCACTTACAGGTAACGTTCTTTCAGGAAGCTGAAGAGCCATACACATAAATGATCCGACAAGTCATAGCATTAAAGTTTAGACAGCAAACCCTCATGCCACACACGATCAAAGGCCTTAGACATATCAAGCGCAACAGCTCTTAACTCTCCATGTTTTTCGATTGCGTTATTCCAAATATGGGTGACATACGATAGAAGGTCGTCTGTTGATCTTTGTTTCCGAAAGCCATATTGATGATCGCTCAAGATGTTAAAGCCCTCCAAATATTCAAAGATATGATGGTTAACGGCTTTCTCCATGATTTTTGATATCACTGACCAAACTGGTCTATAGTTATTTGAAAGATTTTTCTTGCCCTTTTTGGGAATGGGCTGAATGCGAGCAATCTTCCAGCAAGAACAAAACCCCCTCCTTATAAAACATGTTGAAAAATCTGCAAAATACTGGTGCGAGTTCATTAGCGCACTTTTTAAGTACGATGACGGGCACTTCATCAGGACAGATGCCTTGATGATATTGAGCTGTATCACAATTCGCCTCACTAGACGTTGCCGTAAAGTAATTTCCGGCATTGTGGATCCTAGTGTAGGAATTGTGGGTGGTGGCTTTCCCAGAAAATCGACTGTGTAGTGGGACGCAAATTGTTCAGCTAGTAGATTTTTTTATGGCTGTTGTTGCAATTGAACCATTCGCTTGTGTTAGTGGTGGAATTGTGAATATTGTAAAAGTTCTGATTAACAGCTCTAGATACCGACCAAAAGGATCTAGATTCGTTGGGATTGGAAAGCAGTTTATCCCAAATTCTCTGATGGTGAGTTCTTTGCTTTCATTCATCCTAAGTTTGCAGCTGTTGCGAGCATTGATAAACCTAGTTCGGTTTTCGGCACTGGGATTTTTTCGCCACTGCCAGTAAACGAGTTAGAAGTTTGTTTCATTTAAAAAGGAATATATGCATCCATGGATGATGAAATAATTTTCGTGAATTCAAAAGCACAAGTTTATGGATCATTAGAGCTGAAACA